TTCCAAAAGACCAAATAGTCTATCCACTTTATCTTCTAAAATATTTAGTCTGCTTCGTTTGTTACAAATGGAATCCTTTCTTCCACGATATCGTCCTCAGAAACCGGATGGAGCTGTCGGTTAAGCTCTATTCTTGAAAGTATTAGACGCCTTATAGGCTGGATGGCTTTAATAAACAACTCCGCTTGGGCGGTAGAACCTTTGACTTTGTTAACTATACTAGGTGGACTGATTATTAGTGCTCTACACAAGGCAAACTTTAATAATGTCACCTTTATTTCTTTGAACTGTTTCTCTGCAATGTACTCTACACCAGGGAGAAGGGTTTCCACACATTGCTTCGTCGGCAAAGCAAAACGTATTTTGTTTAATATTTGCGGATCAACGTCATCTCCAAAGAGTTGTTCCCTGGTGGGATTTTGAGTCTTCCAATTCTCCCAGCCACTAGGGAGAGTTTGACGCATTAAGAGTTTCACTTTGTCAAGTATCTTGTCCTCTTCTTCGGTTTCTCCTGACTCCTCCATTAGCTCCCCCATCGTCAGATGAGTTGAAGGTTCCGCCATCTGGACCAATGAGGAGAAAGAAAAAAATAATAGTTTAATTGTCATGTCATAAAGGCCCTTAACGTATAATATTCTACATTATAAACAATAAGGCTAGCCTCATAGTCTTAATGCTTCGAGTAATTAGCGAGTCACGTAAGATGCTGCTTCTCAGGTCAGTTGCTATACCCGAGCCGTACCCAGATGCGGGTGGCGAGCCGTATGCGGCTGCGGGTGGCGAGCCGTATGCGGCTGCGGGTGGCGAGCCGTATGCGGCTGCGGGTGGCGAGCCGTATGCGGCTGCGGGTGGCGAGCCGTATGCGGCTGCGGGTGGCGAGCCGTATGCGGCTGCGGGTGGCGAGCCGTATGCGGCTGCGGGTGGCGAGCCGTATGCGGCTGCGGGTGGCGAGCCGTATGCGGCTGCGGGTGGCGAGCCGTATGCGGCTGCGGGTGGGGAGCCGTATGCGGCCGAGAGTGGCGAGCTGCATACGGCATTGCGACTGTCATGAACGAGCCGAGCCAACCCACTGTGCTGTGATTGAATGTCACGAGCTGTTTAGAGCATATCCATCCTTAGGATGCCACACCCGTAAGAAACTTTAATTACCGAACCTAATCGGTTGCGGCGTATTTAATATCTGGAAGAAATTACACTATTTACACAAATAAATGATTACCAACCATTTTATCTCGTACGAGGAATAAAAGAGCAACTAAAAACAAATGATTGTTACGTCAAGTGAAGTAATTAAATTTATTTTCGCACTCTACATTTATTTTACCTTATAGATTCAATGATACCATCATTAACAGAATCCAAATAAAACTATCTAACTCACTCACAGCTAGAAAAGGGTGAAAATAAATTGAAACTCACCATATACACGTAACACTTTTTTCACATCAACGCACATGCACACACTTTGGAAACAAATAGCGTACTGAAGAGACACGGGCGCGTGATCGGCACCGTGCCTGGCCGGCACTCGTGCGGGGTTCGCTGACCCCACCCTATCTGACTCACTCCAGCTAAGTAGGTACTACAAGCGCTTGCACATATGAGGAACAGGTAGGGTAATCTCCGGAAGGTCAAGCCGACGGCACAGAACTGAAATGTCTCTTTAAGTTGCCTTCAGAAACGCGATTTCAAACTTTCGTTTACATAAAGGATGCTTGTTCGTATGTGACTTAGTAATAGTACATGATTATTCATAACTACTCCGGCGGTAATGCAGAGATGAGCGAAATAGAAGAGCTAGATTCTGTTTTATATTTTTTCTCACAGTCTTTATAAATAAATATTATTTATAGCACAGTGTAACCTAAACCCGCACTTTACGCACGCTTTTCCGTGACCTAAGTTGCCTATTTCTGCACGGTGTGTAAATGAATTGACCAACTTCACTCATGTAGAATTAGTACATTACGATACGCGTAACTTAACTTTACTATGCCAATCAAGGAATAAACGTTCATGGATACATTGAAATTCTATTTTGTTGTATTGATATTTGATTATTTCCTTTTGAAATATACTTTCAAAATGGTAATCTGAACCGGAATTCTTTCTTTTCAGAGTTTGACTTGCAGTCTGTATTGCAATTCTTTGTGATTGCAATACATGAATTTTACTTTCAAAACACTAATCTCATCCCCGAACCCCCTCCTCTTGCCCGCGTCCGGGGCGGGTTTATGTCACACTTGCTATAAAATAGTATACGATACTTGTGGCCTAAGTTGTCTATTACTGCACGGCGTGAAGTTAGCGCCCGAGCGGAGCGAGGGTGCTAAACGCCACCGCTACGCCATAACGCCGGTGCTAAATGGCAACTTAGGTCACGCGTATCGTAATGTACTATTAAAATCGGTGGTTTTTTTTCCCAATCTTAGTAAATAAATGTTATTTAAGAAATCTGATTTTTTTGCTCATTCTACCTATTTGGTTTGAATTGACAACTATGACATCACAATATGGCGCCCAGTCGGTCCTATTCTTAGTTGAATCGCATTATGATGGTGTTCAGTGTTTTTAAAGTGAAACTTTTATTATATTGACTCAATTTTTTTCGCTCAGCTTTAGCATGTCTCATTACATTCACGTCATCGAGCATACTTAGCTCAGTGGGAGAAAGTACGCCTGCTTCGCAAGCCACGGGTTCGATTCACAGCCAAGGAAGGGCGTTCTTTAGTATGGATATAAAAATTTTCAATTATATCATGGTTACAGAAATCCAAACCATATTTTTTAAATCGTATTAAATGCTCTTATATTAAGTACTAGCAAACCCGGCGAACTCCGTTTCGCCACCAGATGGCTTCTTTTTATGTAACATTTCGTTTGGTGATTAGAAGATTTTTTTTTATAATTTTTCTGAATTTTCTTTGCTATAAACCCCACGGAGCCCGAGACCTTTCCAACAAATGCAAAACCGTGGAAATCGGTTCGTGCGTTCTGGAGTTATAGCGTGAGGAAGGAAAACCCCACTTATTTTTATATAGTAGAAGATGTACATATACATATTTCATTTACTAGCTATAAGAGAAAGTGAGAAAGAAAATGTGCGCGCGCACTCTTTTCTCTTGCTTATATCCCCCACTCAACTCCCGTTCGCCTCACCCGAACACACTTCTCGTAATGCGTAACGCATTCGCCAGCTTACCCCCAAGTCAAATGTGCGTAAAAAAGTTTCACTTAAATAATACTGACTTGCAGCTAGTTTCGCCGACAAGTCCAGAAGCGTAGCCTCGTGCCGCGGTCTCCTCAGGGATCGTTCCAGCTGCAGCTTTATATCGGCGCTCAAGTCCTGCTTGTGCTGCTGCAGGAACAGTAACACGCTGGCTTCATCCGCCTCTATATTAGTTAAATAATAACCGTCCTTACGTGCCCCCCCCCCCCCTTCCTCCCCGTCTTCATCATCATCATCATCAGCCTATTAATGTCCCCACTGCTGGGGCACAGGCCTTCCCTATGGATGGAATAGGGAGATTGGGCCATGACCCACCACGCGGGCCCAGTGCGGATTGGTGGGTGCTAACGTCTGCAAATGCAGCCGGGACCAACGGCTTAACGTGCCTTCCGAAGCACGGAGGAGCTCGAGATAGTAAATTTTTTGGTCACCCATCCAATGACCGACCACTGCGAAAGTTGCTTAACTTCAACGATCGCAGCCGAACGCGCTAGCCACCTGCGCCATCGAGCTCCTCCCCGTCTTAGTACCATGTAATAGTTCCATGTAATCATAACAGTAAAGGCACAAATGATAAGTTTGTGTGAGACTGATGCCTGAGGTAGGTATGGTAACATACCTGTTTTACAGATCATCAGGCTCCCACCACCTTGGTTTATAAGAACAATTATTATGATTTACAAAATTATCTTGTCTGGGACACCTTTAGTTGCTTGATACGTTATGATAGGTTCCGAAAAACTGTCCCGAAAATGTTGTTATCTTAAATGATAAACGATGTTGTTTGTATGAGTAATTTATTGCTACTGTTCAATTCACTTAATAAAAGGCGTAGCGAGTCGCGCGCAGCGCCGACGTTAGCATAATACTTAAACATATAGAATTGTACGGGTTTGCCCGTACATATCTAGTTACTATCTATTAATTTTTTACTATCTATCTATAGCGTTTATGACAAAAATCAGTTAAGACGAGTGTATAAATTAAGAGAAAAAGAGTGTAATGTGTTGTAAAGTGGTGTCACTGTTTGGTGTTGAAAACATACAATAATGTTATCGTGTGGTACCCTACGACTTATGTTGTTTGTAGTAGTTAGAATTTTGGAGTAAATGTGGGTATTTTGTGAACTTATGTGAGAGTGTACAAATAATCCTCTGTCTGGACATACGTTTTATTTAAAAGTAAAGAGCGGACTCATTAATTCATGTATATATTATATTTCTATATATTTCTTATTAGTTCATGAATTATCGAAATATGTTTTTATGTAGGCCCCGGGGTCACACCCCCGCCTGGCCCTGCCCTGGACGTGGAGACCACAGTGATAATGTATGACGGTGTCGTTTGCAGTCCTGTAGGCTTGTTGAAAATATATCGATGTATCGATATTTTTTGTTCGATATATCGATATTTTTTGCCGATATTTTTTGATTCGATATATCGATACATCGATACAAAATAACCAATATCGAAATTCGTATCAAAAACGATATATTTTTAATTATTAGCGGCATATCACGATCTAACTAAATTCGTATCTGGAAAAATCGTAACTGGATCTCAGATTAATGATATTCAACATATCTATGATCTGTGCTGTATTTAGTATTGTCTATGTCATCATTGGAAAATAGGGTCAGTCTATATTTAGGGAGATAATTTTCGTTCCATTATTATTCCGCGTGTCATATTTCGTGAGCTCCTGTACGATATTTTTGGGAAAATTGGTCCGATATATCGATATTTTTTTCAACTTTCGACATCCCTACAGTCCTGCTGATCCTGGCATCGCAGCGTATCGAGACGGCGGCGAGCGGGCTGCTGTGGGACGCTCCCGCGCCGCGCGCTGAGCCCGTCTCCCGCCGCGGCGCGCCGCCCTCACTCATCGAGTGGCTCATCCTCTCCTGGGTCAGCGGTGCGTGCCTCTACACATATTATTACCTTCTCGTCATATCGTTAACATATCGACACATTATCATCCATATACGTAAACCGCCTTATTACAAAACGCGGACCTAAGTAAGGCTGCGTTTCCACCAGAGATGTGTGATGGAAATGTGTCAAAATTCAAAAAAAAATTCAAAATTCAATATCGTTTATTCAGTCTAGGCTGTTACAAGCACTTGTGAATGTCGAAAAGCTACGCCATCGGTTCGCAAATCTACGGCGGGAGACCTTGTACTGAGAAGAACCGGCAAGAAACTCAGCAAGGGCTGTTTTTTTCTCCCTGTATTATATACAGAGTCGTCAATTTGAAAAATGAGTTTAATATGAGATAACTCATGAAGTCACTTTCCATTACAAATGTAAATGATAAAACAATTATGACTATAAAATAAAAAAATATAAAAAACAGATTTAAAAATGAAAAAAGTTTAGGAATGCCGTGTCCCACTGTTTAGGCATAAAAACAAATGTACCATTAAAGTTAAATACAACGATTAATAGTACCCAATGTAGCAAGAGCAGACTCATCTCCGCTGGCAGCACCCGTTCACGAGCATGACGCATGGACCAGCCATCGCTTCGCTCAACCATTTTTTAGGGAACGTAACGACCCGCCTCACACGACACACGACTGTCGTGCGAGGATGTCTAGCTGTGCTGTGAAAATGTATGGGGATTTCCACCAAAGCTGTGCGATGAAAATGTGCCTACGAGGATGTGTAGCGGAGCTGTGAAAATACGCATTTATGTGTGATGCGAGGATGCGTTGCTTTATCTTCTGCTTCCATTTCTTCATCGCAAATTGTTAAATATAAAAGTATCTTCTTTTTCCAATTATCCATATTTATTTTGTGCACTTCTACTTCCAACAAACTCCGTCTATGGACTGGCTGGTCTCCGTCTATGCGCAAACCTAGCAGCACATCCTTCTCATCACACATTCCTCGCAACACATCCCTCGCTTGTTTTGTATGCGCAAAAATCTAGCTCCGCGGAGCCCTTTCCACCAGAGCTGTGCTGACCGAGGCGAGGTAAATGAAGCGATTCTATTGGTTCTTTACAAACTCAACGCAACGCAGCCTTAGTCTTGGTTTAACGCGGACTAAAGTGACAGCATCAGTTTTAGTCCAGATTAAACTTTAGTCTACGTTCTGTTATAAGGCGAAAAGAGTGTACAATGCACCCGTGAAATTAATCAAAGAGAGTACAATTGATAGATCTATAGACACAGAATGGACTGATCGACATTTGCATGCATATGAAAATTCTCAAGACAAAAAAGGATTTTTGAGAAAGACGAATAATAGGCCGCCCGCTAGCTTCATCTCTAATGGTTTAATTACATTTGATCGTTAGCCCGGTGCAGTCGTTATTCGGGTGCTCGAAAGACATTACTCGAATTCGGGTTCCCGAAGCAATATTTTCACTGGAATACGATCTGGAAAACGGTTTCAGGTAAACAAAACGAAAACTACCCGTTTATGGGCGTACTTGACTCGTTTACCCGAATTCCATTAAAATCTTAATCAAATCAAATTATTTTATTTTATTTTATTTTATTCTTATATGTGTCCTTACTTATACCGAAAATTTAACGACCTGTCCCCAATCTATAAAATGAACAGAAAGAAGTTGACATCTTTCTTACAGACAAAGTTGCTTGAACTTGACTGGACAAACACTGAATGTCTCTTGAAAACCACCTGAAAAAAGGCATATTTTTACATTCAAGTCATACCCAACCCAGTTACTTAATGAAGTAATACAAATATGTATACATTCACTCACAAAAACAAACATACAAACACACCCATACCCAAATACACACACACACACACACCCACCCACTCACACACACACACACACACTTCTGTTATCTTCTGTAATATTATCTCCAATCAACAGCTGTGAGCAAATAGTGAACCCTCCACGGGTTGATAACCTGAGATACAGGTGTTTCCTAGTTCAGGTATCAACCTGCCATAATCTTGTATCGACTTGTATTGTAACATTTTGCTTCTGTTATCCCAACGGATTATGGTGAGGAATAAATGATTTATTATTATTATTTATTCTGCAATTTAGGCTCTCGTATTATACTTATCTGGCCAGTTTTATTTAGAGTTGGTAGGAAACGTACGGCCCATTCTTTTTCTCTATAATGTGAACTATAATGGCCGTATGATCGAAACCAAGTTTCTGTCCGTATTATACAGTAGGATATGGAGCGCTCAGGTCTATGATCGCTTCTTCCGCTACTAAACTGATATCGCTAGAACGCCCTACTTATCGTCCAGGTCTGATCTGGAGCGAGGTGAAACAGCTGTGGGACATGGGACTCCGGGAGTACGTGCACGACATGTGGAACGTGATAGACTTCGTCACGAACTCGCTCTACGTCGCCACCGTCGCCTTACGCATAGTCTCACATTTTCAGGTAATTTAAAACAATTACGGGGAAACAGTCCTCCAAAATCCTCGATGCTGTCTGAAATGAAATGAAAAGTCATTTATTCAGTCTAGGCTGTTGCAAGCACTTGTGAAGGTCAAGAAGCTACGCCATCGGTTCGCAAAATACGGCGGGAGACCTTGTACTGAGAAGAACCGGCAAGAAACTCAGCAAGGGCTGTTTTTTTTATATACAGAGTCGTCAAGTTGAAAAATGACTTCAGAGATACGTCTGAAGTCACCTTCCATTACATCATTTAGAATATAAATATATAGTTACCAAAAAATTTATGGTTAACATTATATCTTTATATATATAATTCTTCTGTGAGTGTGTATGTCACTGAACTTCTCTTAAACGACTGGACCGATTTTGATGAAATTTTTTGTGTGTGTTCAAGGGGATCTGAGAATGGTTTAGATTCACAATTTTGTCCGCTGTCACAACCCCTATTTTTTTAGGGCGGTACGAAGTTCGCTGGGTCAGCTAGTTTAGTATAAAGGAAGCGGTATTAAATAGGTACAATATTACTGTTATGAAAAATGACTAATACCCATTAAATAACAAATTATAAGAAACACTATGTCCATGCATTACGATCATTCAGATAATCATCAACTTTCTAATAGCCCTTATTCATAAAAGTATTTTTGATCTGAGATTTAAATTTAGTCAGTGGAAGCTCAATCAGATCTAAGAAGTCTATATATAAAGAACTCGATACTCGTTAGAAACAGCACGAAGTACAGGATTGTTTTGCAGGTGCGTCGCGAGATGGCTCAGGGCTTACAATGGAATCAGCCGCGAGAGAAATGGGACGCGTGGGATCCGATGCTGCTCTCCGAGGGTCTGTTCTCCGCGGCGAACATCTTTAGCAGCCTCAAGCTCGTGTACATATTTAGTGTAAACCCGCACCTGGGCCCGCTGCAAGTCTCCCTCAGTCGGATGGTCCTGGATATATTGAAATTTTTCATCTTAGACATATTGGTGATATTTGCATTTTCTTGTGGTGAGCAGTTTTCTGATACTCCTTCGTCTATTGACCCTATAATGAATCAATTAATTCTAATACATATAACGCTGTGGTGCAGGCCTGAACCAGCTTCTGTGGTATTACGCTGACATGGAGAAGAAGCGGTGTACGACTGGCACCTCCATCCCGGCACCGAACGGGACTTTACCTGACCCCGACGCTTGCATTGTCTGGAGACGATTCGCAAAGTAAACATTATCAGTGTTTAATTAGAATAGTTAATTTCAAATTTCATGCTAGATTTCTTGGGAAAAAGTGCAGTGGTTTCCCGTTGCCTTCTGCACCAGACCTTTCGGGGAGTATTGGGTTCCCCAGGCTGCTGAAACCTCATCCAGATGGTTGTCCTACTGGGTGTAAGGATGTACCGCCTTTGCTCGGTCATCATTGCCTCGTCTGTTGTCTAGCAGGGAGCACCACGACGACCCTTAGGTCGCCGCCGCTAGCTATTCTGATAAGAACCGCTGGCGCGGGCAGGTGAGGATGACTATTTGGTCGGAAAAGATGTTAAACTCGGTTCTCCCCTTACTAACTGGCGCCCTTAGTCGCTCACTGGCCTATCAATAACCAAGGCTATAAAGAGTGCCGAGGTCAGGAATGCGTGGAGAGGCATAGTACATCACGTGGTCAACATTTCGAGTTAGACACGACCTTCAGCAATGAAGATAGCGACTAAGAAGAAGATTTTCAAACAACTCACAATAATGGTGATAAAATTATTGTACTTACATGTCTAGCTTTCCTGGCTTCATCTGCCAAAACAACGTATCTGAAAGTGCTAACGTGCTAAAAGTGCTAAGTCCAGTTGATATTTATCTTCATGAAATCCAATCGAAGGCAAAGTAATTGGATCTCCATACGATTATAAAACGTTGATGAAATAAATTGCAGCTTGTTCGAGACAATGCAGACGTTGTTCTGGGCGGCGTTCGGGCTGGTCGACCTGGACTCGTTCGAGCTGGACGGTATCAAGATCTTCACCCGCTTCTGGGGCATGCTCATGTTTGGCACGTACGCCGTCATCAACGTCATCGTACTCCTCAACCTGCTCATCGCCATGATGAATCACTCCTATCAACTTATATCTGTAAGCGATACAAATGATTAAAATTTTTATTAAACTCTTATTCCCTTATTTTGATGACCAGGGTTCTTCTTAAGAGCCCTTTCACATTTTTTGCAAAAATTTCGTAATTTTTGAGCACCTCGTTTACCCCCTTAGAAAAGATTTTGACTATTTACAAGTAAACAGTAGATCTATTCTTCCTATTGTAAGTTAATGTAGATTATTTGCAAATACTATTTTCCTTTTTTTGTACTGTTCGTTTTACTGCAGCTGGTTTACGGAAAAAACGATAATTTATGCACAACTTCAAACGCCTCAATCTCTCAATACTGTTCAATAAATGAGATCAAGTTAATTACTTCGACATCAAAAGTATGTTATTGTTGTAACATAATGTATTAGAATTTTGATTTTCCATCTCATTAATTATAAAAAAAACATCTAACCTCCGTGTGTTTTCCCAATAAATAATGCAGGTTTACCTCGTATTTTGATATTGAAGTAAATAGAATTACTATCAAAAACTTTCATAAAACTAATCTACCATCATTGAACTGATGAAATATGAAACTAGTTTTTACGGGTTAATGCACGAAACTTTATTTATTTATTGACGTTTCGCAGCTTTTTCAGGTCTGCATCGTCAGAATAATGATTTTTTATTTAAAATTGTCGAGCTACCTTCGAAAGACTTATATTGAGCGTTAATATAATAAATAAATAAAGTTTCGTGCATTAACCCGTAAAAACTAGTTTTATTTAATGAGTGATGTGCGTGAAAACCTAAGAAACAAATATGATGAAATATGTATATATTTTTATAATTAGTTCATTATAAGGGCTCTTAAGAAAGGCACATCTGTACTGTCAATTGCCAATGCTTCAGATGTTCTCTGTTGGCATAAAAAATATATAACAATCGATTTATGAATAGTAGGAATATGGAAGGCTTCGGCAAGGACGTAGTATCTCGCAACATTTCTTTAACCAACTTTTGGTGACAAGCCCGCTGTACGTAAAAGTTGTGCGGGTTGACGATATGCTATATATATATATATATATATATATTATTTCTTGAGACCCTAAACATAAAGATAAAATTAGTAAACAATAGTGGAGAACAGAAATCGTGATTTGGTACCAGATTTACTTTTAAAATGTAGATGCCTTTATTGAAATGAGAAACTGGATTATTGGTCAGAATAATATCTCAATGATTTCAATATAATAACAATAGAAATAAAAAATCTATTTTAAAAAACTTTCAATACTCATCGACATCATCATCAATGTCTATTAATGTCCCACTGCTGGGGCACAGGCCTTCCCTATGGATGGAATAGGGAGATTGGGCCATGACCCACCACGCGGGCCCAGTGTGGATTGGTGGGTGCTAACGACTGCAGATGCAGCCGGGACCAACGGCTTAACGTGCCTTCTGAAGCACGGAGGAGCTCGAAATAGTAATTTTTGGTCACCCATCCAATGACCGACCACCGCGAAAGTTGCTTAAGTTCAACGATCGCAGCCGTACGCGCTCACCACTTGCGCCATCGAGCTCCTCATAACATCAGGATTTGAAAGTGTTCTTATATTGCTATCTAATAATTACTTTCACTATTTGGAAATCAATCAATCGAAATCAAATGGAGTGTCAATATTAGATTAATAAAAAAAATGGGTGCGTGTACTTATGTAGGCGCGTGAGAAGTTATCCTTCTTTCGCATCGTTTAAAATTAGTTTTTAATTGCATGCAAATAATTAATTACAATAAATTAATAAAAAGTCTGGAAAAGGACACAGTCAATAAAGTTCAGTTTTAATTTGAAAAAATAAATAAATAATCAAAATATTCAATTAAAATCGCTACTGAATATAATTTATTAGAACATATGTGATTTGCACTTGTATGAAACTCAAACACGTATTCCGAATATACAAACTAGAAACATGTGGATAAATATTATAAATATGAATACCTATAACTGTTACTTTATTACAAAAAATAAAGATGTGGTTTTTGGTTCTACTACACCAATGGTCAAGAGATGGCGCTGTAGCCTCCTGAATCGCGCTTTGGTTCCGTTCTTCCAGATTAATAAATACTTTTGATAGGCCTTCACAATGCAGTCGTTAGCACCCACAAAATAGAGATTCTATTTCTATTTTGTTGGTAGATTTTCTTAATGTGCGGTAAACACAAATGTAACAGCATGAAGTTGGCTAAAGCGACCAACTTCATGCTGTTAAAATTTTGTGTTACAGTGATGCGCGCGCATCTTAAAATTTCACTCTCATAATTTTTTCATAACGCGCCTAAAGAAGTATAACTTCAAAAATAAAATAAAACTAGTTTTTACGGGTTAATGCACGAAACTTTATTTATTTATTGACGTTTCGTAGCCTTTACAGGCTACGTCGTCAGAATCAAACTTTTATTTAATTTGTCGAGCTACCTTCGAAAGACTTTTATTGAGCGTTCGGTTATTTCATTGTTCGATTTTTAAAGTTTTATTGTCTATGTATGAATTTATTATTTAATTTACCGAATAAAGTATTTTATTTAAAATTCTTTTTTGTAATTTTGAGTTTATGAAGTGAAACTTCTTTATCGGCGTTGGAAAAAAATTTACCGTCACATTTTTCGGTTACGCGTCACATTTTTCCGTTACGCGCCATCTTTTTTTATATTAATAGTTGATAGCTGAATGATCACACTGTCGCCGGCGAGAACTCTCTCTACTCGTTTGTAGCTGAGTGACAATAGTTATTAAAGATAGGACTCGCTCAGCCAAACTCGCATAGCGATACTCGCTCAGCGGTACTCGCTCAGCGGTACTCGCTCAGCGATACTCGCTCAGCGATACTCGCTCAGCGATACTCGCTCAGCGATACTCGCTCAGCGATACTCGCTCAGCGATACTCGCCCAGCGATACTCGCTCAGCGATACTAGCTCAGCTGGCTTGGCTGTCAAAAGCCGTGCGCGTGCATTTTAACTCAGGACTGCCAATTCGTTTCTAGTTTCTACTCGCTTATCGTTCATCGTCGGAGGTGGAACATGTGCCTTAGATTACTGAGCCGTGTAATCATAACAGTTTCATAGGCAGTAATTTGTATTCATGTCTATGATAATAAAATCCTTTTGTTTAAACTTTATCTAATTTAACTTTATTTAACCAATTTCTGGAAAGTTGCATGTAGATCATTTTTCGAAAAATAAGGCCATAAAGAAGTTTCACTTCTTACGTGTGTACACTAGTACACGCACACATTTTTTTTGTTTGACCCTAACTACCGTAAACTACCACCGGTTACAAATTTGGGAGACCTTTCTGAGAAGAACCGGCGAAATAAACTCAAGAGAGGCTTTCTATCTCCTTCTTATGTTAAGTTATGCAAACAAAAAGAACTAATAGTATCTGTTGGTCTTGCAGTGTGTGCTCGGGGTTGGGATTTTATCTTCTGTATAATGGGTTCCCAAGCTGGTGGTATATACCAACTATCTTCCCTATTGAAATTGATATTTTAATAAAAATTTGCCAAATAACATTACCTTAATGTAGTTGCTTTGGATGCTGACTTTCTTCAAAGGGCATAACTGGCTGTATAGGCTTTTGATACCTATCATCTAGAATAATGGTAACATTTATAATTAGAACACAGGAAGAAAATTGTGTGTGTCAGCTCCGACGCACGACTGGAGTTTACTCCTTAAGTTCGATAGTCTAACCAGACGCAAAAAGAGTTTATTTAACTTAAAAAAGATTGATACTGTATGAAAGGGTAAATTATCAAATTAATAAAAATAATATACATATATAAATATATATTTATTCATTTCATATACATTTATTATGACTAATCGACGAAATATTTTACATTAAACTTTTTACAATAGTCAATTTCAGATGTACATAAATAAAGGTACGCTACGATACTGTGCTACGGTGTAGCACTACGGCTGCTACAGCGTAGACGGTAAAAACGTAACGAGGTCATTCATCGATAGATTTCACTCCTCACATTTTTCTCATACCGGACCCCTTATATATGGAAATCAATTCTTAAGGGCCCATATACGGAACGATTCGTCGTTGCGATCGATCTGAAGGAAATCGTCAACGATCGATCGTTCAGAAATGCCACTACATACACGAAACACTGTCGATCGATCGTTTACGATATTCATGATTGCATGGGATTTGGTTGCGATTTGCGATATCGTCTTCGATTAAGTAAATCGTTAACGATCTTGACATACACTGTCGATCCATCGTTTCGATCGGTCTGAAACGACGGATCGTACAGATCAATCGTACCATATATGGGACACTGACGATCGATCGTTTACGATATTCATGATTGCATGGGTTTTTGTTGCGATCTCCGATATCGTCTGCGACTAAGTAAATCGTTAACGATCTTGACATACACTGTCGATCCATCGTTTCGATTGGTCTGAAACGACGGATCGTACAGATCAATCGTTCCGTATATGGGCCCCTTTAAGGAGTAAACTCCAAAAGTTTGAGATATAATGGCGTGCATTGGTATGCGTAGGAGCGTGCGGACGTCGAGTGGAAGTTCGCGCGCAGCAAGCTGTGGATCTCGTACTTCGAAGAGGGCGGCACCGCGCCTCCGCCCTTCAACGTGGTGCCGTCGCCCAAGTCGCTGCTGTACGCCTGGCGCTGGCTGCAGCGACGCATGTGTGGCCACGCGCGCGCCAAGCGGGAGCATATGCGAACCATCAGGGTACTATGCCATTTACTTGCTCTAATTCAAATTGTTTATTACAGACAACAAAATGGTCCATCAAATCGTTCATCATCATCAGCCTATTAATGTCCCCACTGCTGGGGCACAGGCCTTCCCTATGGATGGAATAGGGAGATTGGGCCATGACCCACCACGCGGGCCCAGTGCGGATTGGCGGGTGCTAACGATTGCAGATGCAGCCGGGACCAACGGCTTAACGTGCCTTCCGAAGCACGGAGGAGCTCGAGATAGAAGATTTTTGGTCACCCATCCAATGACCGACCACTGCGAAAATTGCTTAAATTCAACGATCGCAGTCGAACGCGCTAACCACTTGCGCCATCGAGCTCCTCAAATCGTCATCAAATCGTTAGTAACAATATTTAACTTAAATGCTATGTAAGTATATATTGGTGTCAATTCTGGCGTGATTCTCTTAACTTAAAACTAAATTTAAGGTTAGTCTCACCTTTTCATTCTGTATAGAGAAGGACAAGGATGCACTGTTGTCAAATTTAAGTTTAGCTTTAGAGAATCATGCCAGAATCGACATCATTATTTCTAGGATTCAATCAATGAGTGTTTTTTAAATATTGAAATTGTATTATATATAGGTAATATAAAAAGTAATCTAAACCAAATGTCGAAACAAAATGAATTTATAGTTATGATTTTATTTCTATTTTTTAAGCATTCAACTGCTAGATGTTCAAATCCAAAGAAAAGTTTACTAGAAAAAAATCCACGCGGACCAGGCAGAGGACAGGACTCGAACCCGCATCCTTCGCTATCCGGGCGAATGCACTGACCATTATGCTACCACGGCCCTATTAGTAAACTTTTCTTTGGATTTGAACATTAAGCAGTTGAATGCTTAAAAAATAAACAAAATCATAACTATAATTGTTATTTCTTCTTTCAAATGTTTAATACTTGAAAAAGTATTCATTTGACATTGTGGGTTACCTACAATGCGAAGAGATGGCGCTGCCTTGCAGCTTAAGGCTAGGAAAATTTCGACGCGGCTAATAGGGCCGTGGTAGCATAATGGTCAGTGCATTCGCCCGGATAGCGAAGGATGCGGGTTCGAGTCCCGTCCGCTGCCTGGTCCGCGTGGATTTTTTTCTAATAAATAAATATTTCCAACATTCACACCAATTAGCCTAGCCCCAAAGTAAGCACTATAAGGCTTGTGTTATGGGATGCTAGGGTAACGGATAGAATACATATACTGTACATATATAAGTATATTTATATAAATACATATTAAACATCCATGACTGGAGTACAAATGCTCGTATTCATCACACAAACATCTGCCCCCACCGGGATTCGAACCCGGGACCTCTCGAGTCGGCGACAGCCATGAAACCCGGCGTACAAACCACTCGGCCACGGAGGTCGTCAAAATTTACTTGCTTTAATTCAAATTGTTTATTACAGACAACAAAATGGTTCATCAAATCGTTAGTAAAAATATTTAACTTAAATGCTATGTTAGTATATATTATTTCTAGGATTCAATCAATGTGTTTTTTTAATATTGAAATTGTATTATATATAGGTAATATAAAAAGTAATCTAAACCAAATGTCGAAACAAAATGAATTTATGTAAATAATTGATATTCTACATTTAAAGTCATATGATTGAAATGTCGTGTAATATAATTTCATCATCATCAGCCTATTAATGTCCCCACTGCTGGGGCACAGGCCTTCCCTATGGATGGAATAGGGAGATTGGGCCATGACCCACCACGCGGGCCCAGTGCGGATTGGTGGGTGCTAACGTCTGCAAATGCAGCCGGGACCAACGGCTTAACGTGCCTTCCGAAGCACGGAGGAACTCGAGATAGTAATTTTTGGTCACCCATCCAATGACCGACCACTGCGAAAGTTGCTTAACTTCAACGATCGCAGCCGAACGCGCTAACCACTTGCGCCATCGAGCTCCTCCAATATAATTTAATGTACTTAAATGTCGAGGAATTGAAGTGAAGTTAATGACGAAGACAAAAAGGTTTCTAAACGACCTTAACTAGGGCCATAATCAGGATCTCGGGCTTCACCAATTTTATATATATAATTCTTCTGTGAGTGTGTATGTCACTGAACTTCTCTTAAACGACTGGACCGATTTTGATGAAATTTTTTGTGTGTGTTCAAGGGGATCTGAGAATGGTTTAGATTCACAATTTTGTCCGCTGGACAACCCCTATTTTTTTAGGGCGGTACGAAGTTCGCTGGGTCAGCTAGTATAATATATAATTCGTTAACCACTAACCAAGACCAAGTGCACGGTTTGTGTTAGCTAGCCGTTTTTAGCATGTGAGGGTAATAGACCAGGGTCGATAATTTTAAAAATGGTAAAAAGTGAAAAAAAATATAGTAGGATGAAACCCATTGGGAAAGGTAGAGAATATAACAAACATGAAAGGAAAAATAAATTAAGGGCGATCTGAGGTCGGGAAGATCACATAATCTCGATTTCCGGTATAACTGCAAGTCCTATGAAAAAAAGTTAAATGACAAAGTTGTAGGTAATAAAAAGATCTACAACTTTTGTATCGACACCTTTTTCACATAACCTCAAAATTTATGTGAAAAATTCGAATAACCGAGTTTTTGGTTTTTTATTTCCAGTTTTACCACAGTTTACAGTTTTTTTTGGTCTCAAAAATTATCGACCCTGGTCTGTAACACATAAAACAGTTGTAGATTGTTCCTCTTTTAAAACGGATGTTATTATACTTAGATGGAAAAATCACATAATTTATTTGTGATGGAAATGAATTTTGACTTTAACTGTTGATAAAGTACAAACGGATCTACGGAATTCGTAGCTATGTTTTCCAAAAACTAGAGAAAGATACAGTCTGTTTTCATTTATTAATTAAAGTTTTTTTTTGCAGAGAAAAGCAAAGCAAGCCAATGAGCGCGATTTTCGGTATCAGGTCAGTATATCTTCTTTATGATTACAACCATTTCAGTAACATTAAGTTGCAAAACGCTTTCTGATTGCTAATTGTTAACAAATTAATAAATTATCATCAGAGGGCGCTAATTGTTGGCTGTTTGAAACTTACGGTCACTGCTATACCGGGATGATTATTCTTTTATTCTTCAAACAGAAGGCGACACTCAATTCAAATATGTAACCTATTAGGAAAACAGATTTTACCCCGACTTTAAAATGTTATCATCAGTCCAAGCAATTCCAATTTGGCCGCTACATTTTCGTCTCTAATAATGTCATTATCAGGAAAAAATCTCGCCCCGCTTCCCACACTCAGCACCCCGCGAGCTCGCTAGCAAGAAGGCGCGCATGCTCTATTTAGTAGTATTATTATATAGTATTTTCTTATTATTTAGATTTGACCAAATGATTAGGTTCTTTGTTACCCCCGAAGTATGGCTGATTTACCCCCGGAGGGGTAATTACCCCCAGGTTGGAACCCAGGTCATAATCGATGTGTTGGTGATTGTCGTAACAGGCCATAATGCGCAACCTGGTGCGCCGCTACGTGACGGTGCAGCAGCGACGCGCGGAGAGCGGCGGCGTCACCGAGGACGACGTCAACGAGATCAAGCAGGACGTGTCCGCCTTCCGCTGCGAGCTGGTGGAGATCCTGCGCAACTCCGGCATGAACACGTCCACCGCCAACGCCGGCGCGCCAGGTGACAGCCTAGCGTATAATGCGATTCAACTAAGAATAGGACCGACTGGGCGCCATATTGTGATGTCATAGCTGTCAATTCAAACCAAATAGTTAGAGTGAGCAAAAAAGTTTTTATTTAATAAAACTTATTTACTAATATTAAGTGAGAAAAAGCATAACGTTTTTTGACGTGACAACGTCTTAAATTAGGTTGCGGCTGGGAGTCACTTATGAAAAAGTGTAACGCTCGGTAACGTTACGATGAGTCTCTCGTGTTAAGTTTAAGTTTACATGTACAATGTTTTAGTAAACAAAATATATTTCTATAGTTAAAATTTGTGCAATTCTTATTTTCATTCAATTCCTTGTTCCTATTGTGCAATTTAATTATATTCATATCAATAAATATTCTACCGAGAAAAAGACGTTGTCACGTAAAATCTTCGCCCGTAAAACCGACTTTACAGGCAACCATTTTTTTTTAATAACATTTATTTACTAAGATTGAGAAAAAAAAACCAACGATTTTTAATAATATTTATTTATTAAGACTGAGAAAAACATTAATCAGAATCTAGCTCTTCTATTCCGCTCATCTCTGCATTACCACCGGAGTAGTTATGAATAATCATGCAATATTACTAGGTCACATACGAACATGCATCCTTTATGTAAATGAAAGTTTGAAATCGAGTTTCTGAATGCAACTTAAAGTGACATTTGGTTGACGATTTAGGTTATCAACCATTCATGACCAAAGCTCAATAAGTGAAATAAAAATATCAACCGATATTAATTATCAATATTTGTTATTGTTTGTTTAAAAATGTTTGGTTTTTATTCTTGAATTAGCGGAGTACTAAAATAGGGTTCCAAGTTTTTTTTTGCGAACCGTACTTTTCAAGCGACATTTGACAGATAGAGGTCATTGGCTTTCCTATTCTTATTTGAATCGCATTATACCTCTCATCACTGCGGGACCCGACTTCCGACAGACTCAGAATTTTGCGAAGAGTTATATTCGAAAGTTAAGGGTGGATCTCAGATCTCAATATGGCGATACCATATTTCAAACAAAAATAGTCTGATGATGATTTCAAACAAATGCCTATTAACATAGTTTTGACGTATTTAAGTGCGGTTTTTGAGAAAATCGATGTTGTTATTTAACGGCATATTGAAAGATTCTTCTTATAATGTAAATTTCTTCGCCTATAGAAGGCCAGCGATCATTAGGGCTGCTTGTAGGTACTTTCGACATTAACTGCCACCTGTAAAGGCCGAAGAAATCTGGAGCTGATCCCGAAATGTAAATTTTTAAGCCATTAATGGAGCAAGTTTTCGGATGGTGTAAGCCAACAAACCTAGTGCAATTTCCTCCTCTCGATGATCTTATCGGTTTCAAGTGCTGGCCCATTATCTGCAGTACGGCTTTTTATGTAACTATTACCACCCTTATACCTTCAGTATTCCTTTGTATATCCAACAATTTTCATCCACACCGAATCAAAGTATTAATTCATGCATATTCATACATATTGGCGATAGCGATGGCTGGTTCATGCGTCATGCTCGGGAACGGGTGCTGCCAGCGGAGATGAGTCTGCCCTAACTTCCTTAAAATTGAAGTTAATGTTTAGTCACACTTAATATAAATAACACTATTTGTATATTTATACTGTATCAAAATGCAGGTAGTCAATTAATGTATATTTAATAGTTATGTAATGAAAGGTGACTTCATGAATCTTCTCTGAAGTCATTTTTCAATTTGACGACTCTGTAAATAATAAAACAGGGAGAAAAAAACAGCCCTTGCTGAGTTTCTTGCCGGTTCTTCTCAGTACAAGGTCTCCCGCCGTTGATTTACGAACCGATGGCGTAGCTTCTAGACATTCATGAGTGCTTGTAACCAAGGGCGGATCCAACTTTGGCGCTAGGGGGGGTCATATAGCCAGATTTGGCGCCAGGGGGGGTCATATAGCCAGCTTTGGCGCCAGGGGGGGGCATATAGCCAGCTTTGGCGCCAGGGGGGGCATATAGTTGTGGTATATTAAATATCGAAAGTACTTAAATAAAATCCCCCTGGGTAACAGCCTAAACTGAATAAATGATCTGTTATCTATTAGACGAGTCCGTCTGTCCGTGGTGCTATTTCAGCGGCCAAACCGTAAGAGATAGATAAAGAGATTATTTAAGTTATAAGTTAAGAATAGTCTGATAAGATTACAAACCGGATTTGAGTAACGTAGCACTTCCGGTTTTCGAGAAATCACGAATTTCAAACGAAACCACACAAAATCTCCGAAGTTCTCAATTAATTAAATATATTTTTTTTAATCAGGTTTTGGTGAACATTTGGTTCACTGGTTTGCTAGTTTTGATTATTCGTTTCAATCAGGCGGAGGCGGTGGCAAAAAGAACCGTCAGAAGGAGCGGCGTCTCATGAAAGGGTTCAACATAGCGCCGGGCGGGTCTCTGACGGCCGGCGACGAGTTCCTGGCGTCGCTGCACCACGAGCACGGCGGCGCGCACGGCGCCCACCACGCGTCGCTGTCGGCGCTGCTGGGGGCGAGACTCCGCACCTCGCAGTCCTCGCTGTCCGACGGAGGCGCCGCGCCTCCGCCAGCCTCCTCGCACTCACACTCGCATTCGCACTCTCACGGTCGACGCAAGCCCGCGCCGCACAAGCGCCGCTGGGGCACTATCATCGAAGCCGCGCGCGCCGCTCGCGTCTCGCGCTTCATCGGCCGTTCGCGCTCCGAGGACTCCGTCTGCGACCACTCGAGGCATTCACCCAGGTGAATTATATTGATCGATGCATGCTGAATATCAAAATTCACCTCACTTAAGCACGTCCAGGGATTAAGAAAAAAAATTGTGTGTGTCAGCTCTGACGCACGACTGGAGTTTACTCCTTAAGTTCGATAGTCTAACCGGACGCGAAAAGAGATTGTTTAACTTAAAAAAGATTGATACTGTATGAAAGGGTAAATTAACAAATTAATGAAAATAATATACATATATAAATATATATTTATTCATTTCATATACATTTATTATAACTAATCGACGAAATATTTTAAATTAAACTTTTTACAATAGTCAATTTTAGATGTGCATAAATAAAGGTACGCTACGATACTGTGCTACGGTGTAGCATTACGGCTGCTACAGCGTAGACAGTAAAAACGTAACGAGGTCATTCATCGATAGATCTCACTCCTCACATTTTTCTCATACCGGGCCCCTTATATATGCAAATCGATTCTTAAGGAGTAAACTCCAAATATGATCCACAACTACGACGTCGTGTTTGTTTTTTAATTATTTTAAAGGAAACAAACGGTTACATGAAAACGTTGTACAAGTTAATGTGGTACTCAAAAACTTATAGTTGTAGGAACAATAAAAACATATGCGATCACCTACACAAAACGAAATATTGAAGTCGAAAAGACCTTACACCAGTGTTTCCTAACCTTTCCAATACTGCTACCCCTGTAAGCAATTAGGAAAACAGATTTTACCCCGACTTTAAAATGTTATCATCAGTCCAAGCAATTCCAATTTGGTCGCAACATCTTCGTCTTTAATAATGTCATCATCAGGAGTAAATCTCGCCCCGCTTCCCGAACTCAGCAGCCTGCGGGCTCGCTAGCAAGAAGGAGCGCATGCTCTATTCAGTAGTATTATTATATAGTATTTTCTTATTATTTAGATTTGACCAATAATTAGGTTTTTCGTTACCCTCGAAGTATGGTCGATTTACCCCCGGAGGGGTAATTACCCCCAGGTTCGGAACCCATGCCTTACGCTATTTTCGTGTATCTGTCGCACGCAACAATAATCACGATGGCCGTTCCAGCGGCAGTGAGCGATCGGAGTCCGGCAGCGACTCGCAGCGCAGCCCGGAGCGGGGCAGCGGACGGATAACGGGCCCCCTGCACCCGCTGTCGGCGCTGGCAGCGCTCAAGCGAAAGCGCAAGAAGTTCTCGGACTCGCGGCGTGCGGCCGAGGAGGTAGGCTTGTTGAAAATATATCGATGTATCGATATATCGATATTTTTTGTTCGATATATCGATATTTTTTGCCGATATATTTTGATTCGATATATCGATACATCGATACAAAATAACCAATATCGAAATTCGTATCAAAAACGATATTTTTTTAATTATCGCGGCATATCACGATCTAACTAAATTCGTTTCTGGAAAAATCGTAACTGGATCTCAGATTAATGATATTCAACATATCTATGATCTGTGCTGTATTTAGTATTGTCTATTATTTGTAAATCTGTTTCGCTGGTGAATTGGTTGTGCTGATTTCCATAATATATTCCGTGGAAGTGTGTAAATCTTTAGTCTTGTTTACGAAAGATGGCACCTGAGAGGCCCTGCAATCATTTTCATCATTCGAAAATAGGGTCTATTTTCTATTATTCCGCGTGTCATAAATATATTTTTGGAAAAATTGGTCCGATATATCGATATTTTTTTATCGATATATCGAAGCCTATATTGATATTTTTTAAAATATCGATGTATCGATATTTTTTTCAACTTTCGACATCCCTACGAGGAGGCTCGCGCGAGTGGGGCCGCGACTGCAGGCCCGGGAGGGACGCGGGGCGCGGGGCTCGAGGCGCTGCAGCGCGCCAGCTCCGTGCCTGCGCGCGCCCCGCCCGCCCCCGCCCCCGCCCCCGCCCCCACCCCCGCGCCGCCCCGCGCCCCGCCCGCGCCGCCCGCTCCCTCCTCCGCCCCCGCCACCGCCCGCGGGGGCAGCCGGGAGCCCCTCCTCGCCAGCCTAGATGAAGACGCACATAAGGTGGGTCGACCGTCTCGCTTAGGAAATCCTCCCACGACGACGGCTAACTAGAGACAATTTTACATGAGTATACAATGATTCCATTTATAATAATATGATTTCTTACAATGAATGAGTGAATTAAAGACGCAAAGTATCTTTATGATGCTTTGTTATTGTGAGTAGCTGATTGAAGTTTGAGGAGAAAAACTTATCACACAAATTCATGAATAATTAATGGAAAATTGATTTCTGAAACGTCTGGTTTTCTTCAATTAATAAGGAGCCCCTCCTCGCCAGCCTAGATGAAGACGCGCATAAGGTGGGTCGACCGTCTCGCTTAGGAAATCCTCCCACGACGACGGCTAACTAAACCGTTTTCATATTTCAAACATCTAAACTAAAAGTATGACCTAGGTACAATCACGAAACTTTATTTATTTATTGACGTTTCGTAGCCTTTACAGGCTTCGTCGTCAGAATAAAACTTTTGTTTGATTTGTCGAGCTACCTTCGAAAGACTTTTATTGAGCGTTTGGTTATTTCATTGTTCGATTTTTAAGTTTCATTGTCTATGTAAACTAACTAACCTAACTTATTATGTGCATTAACCCGTAAAAACTAGTTTTATTTAATGAATGATGTGCGTGAAAACCTAAGAAACAAATAGGTTTAATCATTTTCGCTGCTTTGAGCGTAGTACTGCGGTACAACGCGCAAGCTGGAAACTAGGTATATTGTACCCAAAGAAAAAAGGTAAAGGTAAACTCCAATTATCTCGATCGTTTTGTTCTCGCAGGAGGCTTGTGATGAATGCGGCATGGAGGCGAGCGAGGCTGACGAAGCTCCAGCGGCGTCAAAGATTGCGGCAGACGCGGGGTCGGGGCCGGGGGCGGGAGCGGGGGTAGTAGTGGGGGCGGGGGAGTCGTGCGGCCGATGCGCGGCGCTGACGCGGCTAGCCGGAGTCACGCCACTTCACGGCCACGCGCCGCATAACTCCGCCGGCTGGCTGTAACCACCGCACGACCAACAACCTTACGTTCCATAAGGCGCTTTGCAGACGGCGGGGCGGAGCGGACCGGTCAATTTCGCCGCGTACGATAGCACAAAGTGAATCCTATACTACAAACGCACACAGAGGGCAAAAAGACCATGTCCGCGGCTGCCCGCCGTGGATCATACAAACCAGTTTATATGCAGTAACGGAGACGGCGGCGCGGGGCGGCTAGCTCAGTCCGCGCCACGCGCTTTTAGTGATGGACTATTCACTAGAACGAACGTCCTGAACTGCCTGCCTCTGCCCGTCCCGTCGTGCCCGTGCTTTGTGTACGCGGCGAGGGCAGCCGCAGACATCGACGGCCAGACGCGGTTTTTATTGCTTCGCGGACAAAAAGCCCGCCCCGCCCCGTCGTCTGCAAAGCGCCTAATAGTGATCATGAGACTGCCGAACGACCCGCGTTGCCGTCTCCCCACCGGACTCCTGCGTGAACGACTGACGAGACAGAAGCGCAAACTATACTTAGTGATTTAGTTTATGTTTAGTTACGTTTAAGTTGTATGTTATTATAGTTCGGTAACATCGATTACAATTTAAGGGATTCGACTCGCCTCGGACGTGTCGCGATCTCGTTATGTTTGACTATTCCGATCTACGAAATATTTCTTATTGTTACTAGATAAGGTTTACCGCAAAGCGAAAGTTTGAAAACTGCCAGGAGACACGCAGTGTTGATATTTTCTTCATCGATGATTTTTAGAGGCTCCGAACCGACCATATGAATAGTTATTCCGGAAACATTGTTTTAACATTTAAATGAATACATATTACAAAAAATGGCCTAACAAAGAGGGTGGAAAGCACGCACGTCTCTCATCACACAAGAACCAATACTAACTGCGAGATGGTATAACTACTTAACTTACTAGAATCAACTTTGACAGAGGGACCGGTGATTGTGACCAATTTCAGTAATACAGACATATTTAAATAAACTCTATTTCTCTCTATTTTACTTGAAAAAAGACGCAATGTTTAAATTCTGTGATATAAATATTTACCTACGTATATAAAATTAAGAATATTTGCGTGCGTGTTATTCCTATCCCGCCTTTTATTTTATAATCTACAGTGGTACTAATATTGGAATATAGCATTATAAATTATTTAGGTAGATGAAATTAAATAACGATAAACTTAGTTATATTGTGTATCTGTGTTATTAATCTCAAAAACAGTCTACTATACGTGTTTATTCATGTTAAATATTATGCCTAAAATTATAAACCTAACTTAGATTAAAATACAAAGGGAAGATACGGTACGCTCATACTAGCATCAAACCGACTCAACTACATAAGCAACTAATAGTCCAGTCAGTATTGTCGCGAAATCCGTTTTTCCTCAAACAGCTGGAACTATGCTAAAAAGTTTCTTAAGATAGTAAAGAACACTTTACATAGAGAAAAAAATGTTTCCAACCCCGGGCAAGGGTGAAAACCACCCTTAATAATCTATTTTTCCAATTATCTCAAAAAGTATACGAGATACGGAAAAAAACTTCAAATGAAAATTGTAGATCTTTTTGAAATCTACAAAACATTATTCCACCCTCTTGCCCCTATTTTCAATAGGGGAGCCAATAATCGAAGTCAAAGATTCAATACTTAAAAAGTTAAAGTTAGTTAAAAAAGTTATCTTTGACTTCGATTATTGGCTCCCCTATTGAAAATAGGGGCAAGAGGGTGGAATAATGTTTTGTAGATTTCAAAAAGATCTACAATTTTCATTTGAAGTTTTTTTCCGTATCTCGTATACTTTTTGAGATAATTGGAAAAATAGATTATTAAGGGTGGTTTTCACCCTTGCCCGGGGTTGGAAACATTTTTTTCTCTATGTAAAGTGTTCTTTACTATCTTAAGAAACTTTTTAGCATAGTTCCAGCTGTTTGAGGAAAAACGGATTTCGCGACAATACTGACTGGACTATAAATTAACATTCAATCGAGCGAACGAGACAGAACTGTAGTGCTATTCTGTAAAAAATTAAATTCACCATCGGATCCCCACGTTTTCCATATAGATCCGCGCGTGAAAAGGACACCCGGCATTTTGTGCCAAAGTTGTATACTTTTTTAATTTTTTTATCTGTGTTTCATAATTGGGTAACGTAGTCTGGCAATATTTGTCATCAGCAGCTAGCTGTCAATGTCAAATACGTAGGTTTGTCATCAAAAGGGTTTCTATATCAAAAAATATTAATCATTAAATAACTTCTTTCCACGATTCACTAAAAATAAGGCAAAAGTAGTTTTATGTAGCAAATAATTTTGGCTTTATTTTGAGACCAAATTCAACTGTATACAAGTTTAGCATTTTTTCTTTGAAAAGTGCCGGGTCTCCTTTTACGGAATTGCACTGCTGTACCACGGTATATCAGTATTGTGACTCGGTCCTGTCTTTGAAATAACTGCTTACGGCCGAGCGGGGCGTATCCACGCGGTAGGGCTGCCAGCCTATAGTATTTTAATTTTATCTACTACTTTTACTAATAACCACTATAATTAATAAATAACTCGTAATAACAGAGGTGTAGCGTCCAAATCCAAATCAATTGGTTCAGAATCACTAATAAAGAACCCATTTTTCGCATGACATCTACAGAGTAAAAATAATAAGTTACATACAGTTTACAGATAATCAATCAATGGTGTCGATTCTGGCATGATTCTCTAAACTTAAACCTAAATTTAACATCAGTCTCTCCTTTTCATTCTGTATAGAGAATAAGAAGGATATACTGTTGTCAAATTTAAGTTTAGGTTTAGAGAATCACGTCAGAATCGACACCAATGTATTTGAGCGGCATACTTACTCGTTAATATAAAAACATAATCATTTAATATAGACAGATAATCACGTAGAATTTCCAGCGACTGTTTTCTATTTTGAATCTTGAAAACTAGTTCGTGAGCTCACTACAATAAACAGAATAACTGCCAAAATTTAAACAAAATATACGCACTGTTTGAATTCTGAGCTTAATCGAAATCGAACGACATATCGATATCATTGGCTCATTAAACAAATCAATAAAATCTGCATACCAAAATATTAAGATATCGTATACATCGTACGTAGGCAATGAAATTATCATATGTGTACGATGATACTTATCGTACGGTTCCGATTGCTGGTCCGAGTCCGCACGGCTGAGCTGTATTGTTTTCTTGATAAATTTATATCAAAATTTGATTGATATCAAAATGGCGATTACGTAAATAACATTCACGACAAACCGTAATTTTTAAGAAAATGATTTTACAGTTTTATGAATGAAAAGTGTAGCCGAGGCATTTGATTTTGAACTATTTGTGTTCTTTATAAAAGCATCCAAGGCATTGTTTAATCTTTATACGCAATATTGTTATATTGAGTGCACGTGCAGCGTGTTTGATTGTCCAATTGTGACTAAAGCGAATTGTGGTCATGCACCACAATTTAGGTTGATCACTTTTGAGCCGCGAATGCTGTATCTTCCCTTTTTGTTTTAATTTAAGCCAAAATATGATTTGATCTTTCATGAGATCAATTAAAAAAAATCGATGTTCGATTTGATTTAAACCCGAGACCTCTGGGTCGGCGACTCCTTAAATCCCGTACATTCTACTTGAGCCACGGAGGTCGATGTAACGAAAGTGTTATACGTACGCTAAGGAGTCCTTCTTCAAAGCTCTATTCTTATTGCCACAAAAAGGTTAAATATGGAATACTTGGCTTCGTAGGGAAGAAAGTATGAAAATTGATATATAAATGCTTTGCAGCAAATATTTATCTAAACACGTGTAGTGATCGTGATTTGTAAACACCAGTTCCTCAGTTGCAATGAATTATGTCTATGATGTATGTGGACAGCAAGCGCACGTAGTCGGCAAAGAATCACTAGATCGCACAAGCTAAGCGCTCTCCTAATTAAAACGCTATATAATCTATATATTAAATTTTAATAAAAATATATAAGTAGATGGTAGATCTTCCTAAATTTATTGTATTGAAGATGACATATTTTATCGAACACCAAATAGTTAATAGTTAGCAAGTTTTAAAGATAGATAATGATATATAATTACCGAGTAAGTGAAATATTTTATATACCACATTATGAGTTATTTAGTTGGAGTAAGCGGTATATAAGTTAAGTATAGTAATGATGTGTTCCAGAAATGTTTTCCATTGTACTCAGTCGGCGCACATAATAGAGGTAATTACTTACATATTGTATGTAAGAACGAACAAGACGAAACAGGGATTTTTGAATGAAACATGTTCTATCTACTTTCATAATAACATGTTATATCTACTTTCATAATGGGTGTGTTCCGAAACTTAAGCCAGTACGCTGGCCAGCGTAATGACGTCAAGATTTCGACGCCATATTGCAGTGGTGTGCCGCCATATTGTGCTGGTGAGAATACTGTGACGTATAATAGCTGGGTGTATACGCTCTGCAGTTAGTGAAGGTCTTTTTTGTATTAAATTGATAATAATTGTTAGAAAACACACTCATCTTTTTCCCCAACAAGAACGACCAAGTAGATTAAGACCGCTTCAAAGATTAGCCCCTCCAAATTCCAAATTGCATTAAAACTAAATTTTAGTACACACAGGACCTTTTGCTATGGCCGTGAAAGTGTACAATAAAATTCCCGAACATATAAAAAATGAAAAAAACGCAGTCAAATTTAAAAAAACTACTGAAATCATTTTTATCAAGGACCTGCTTTTATTCGATGCAAGAGTTTTTCAATTTTAAATAGTACCTAGTTAATTTAAGCAAGACCTTATTTATTTTTTATGTTTTTAATGTTCCTACGTAATGTTATTTTATTTGAAATTATTATTATTGAATGCTATTTGTCAGTGTTATTAATTATTAGTTAATAATTATGTTCAAGTTTAATTAAATTTAATATAAATTATTATTATTATTTAATTAAGGACATTTTAAATTAAATAGCTATACCCTTTCAGGGTTCATGTGTCTGTATATAATATTTTTATGTAACATCTGTAATAACCACATGAGTGCAATAAATAAATAATGGAATCTCAACATACAGAAAAAATAGTTTTGATCGATTAAGGGAATAACAAGATTTACACACTTTATTATAATTTTTGGAGCACGAACGTTGCACACAAACACGAGACTGCTTGAATATTGCGCCAGTTCATGACGTCACCGCGTTGATCAGTGTATTTGGAAATTTTGGAACGAATCAACAGCATGGCGTCGATTCTTGACGTCATTAGAACTGGCCAGTATACTGGTTTATATTACGGAACACACCCAATGACCCGATCCGTACCCTGACGACACCGTAGGCTAGCTAGCGAGTAGGTGTAAGTAGATAAGAGTAACATCTGATGCAATACTTATTGATTAAATCATAATGTGATCACGGAGTTTTACATTCTTAAAATATTTTATAAAACAATACGGTTTATTTACGTGTAATTACAGATAAGTTTTGATAGCAGGTACGGTCGTATAGACATCTAGCTGGATGGATATCTCTTCTCGGAAACAGATCATGACACCATCGCTGTAACATTAATGTGGTATAGTCGACCGGATGTGTACTCGACTGTACTAGGTAGTGATAAATATGTTACAATATATAGGTACATGCGCCGGAAAAAATGTGTAATTGGTGATTTAGTTTAGGGCTTAGTCCTTATATTGAGCTAAAGTTCTATAGGAAACTGCCACGGTGATAACTGAGAGCACAGCAGATCGCTTCCATTATTGATCTTAGATCAATTTGATCTTAGATCAAAGAGTTCATTGAAACTTATAATGTAAGTTTCAATGAACTCTTACCGCCAGGCAATTAATAATGTTGTTAGAGCGCTATATTACACACTCGCAAATGAAAGGCACCCCTGGTCAATCGCTCTGTTTTTAAAACTATAACGGAAGGTAGGAACCGTAACAAATACCACCCAATCGTCGTACCCATATTTAACAAATAAATTAATCTGATTCTGTTTAAATGTAGTTTATGAGCAGATGTGAAGAACTTTGGACCTTTATTCTCATGGCTTAACTGGTTGGTACTTCCAGAAAGCGACAACAACCGACGCAATTAATTTGTGGCATACAGGTAGAAGTTAACCTGATTTATGGAACTTGTAATTGTATAATTTGTCTTCGATCGTGGTCACTCTAGCAAATTAACATGGTCTAATTACAATCCAAATATTTTTCCAAACTTTGCCTTCTTTATTTACAAAACGCGAGAATTCATAAACAAAGATTGAAGTTTGAACGAATAGGGGTGATGACGGGGTACAGTAAACGAAATT